TCACACTCCCTCTATTGCTTCGTTACCCGAAAAGTGCGTACGCATTTTTTATAATTAACCACTCACGCGATTATAAAAGCGTGGGCCCTAATGTTGCATATTGAAGCGAAGCTACGACTTTGTTTTCTATGCTGTCTTTCCAGCGTTTTAAGAAATATCATTCCAGGGTAGATAATTCGTTTCGTTGTCCTTAAATTTCTAAGTACACGCAATCCTGAGACTTAAGCGGTGTATGCGGCTGCGACATCCACATACTTAAAGCGAACGGCAAGGAAGCTTGACTTTGGAGTGGGAGATGGCACTTCAGGGTAGGTAGCGGAGCAGTTTAGTTCAGGAGTGGCCGTTGGGGAACGATCTGACGGCGCCAGGGGAGGCATAGCTTCTTCCCACGTGGCACCCCCGACACACTCTACCCTCATAATTCTACCAAGCCTTCCTCCGAGGCGCCACCTCCGGTTTCTCTGAAGCATCGTAACCGTGAGAGAAGGAGAACGTCGTTTCGTATCATTCGCGGAAAATCCCCTTTCTCGTGCCTGCCGTATCAAGAATCGAGGGACTTTCTTCTCCCTACTCCCGAACACGAACGAAAGCCATCGCATGATTTTCCGGCAACACGCTCGCAACCCCCAATAGCGAACTCGCAAATTCGCGCCAAAATGCGAGCGAGCTAACTAACTTTACGACGCGCAACTATTGAACGCGATTTCAGCCAAGATTCAAGCGGCGGAAACAACTGCAATGGACGTTTGATTGCCGGGAAGACTTGAACGATTGGTACGATTGGATGTTACAAAGGGCCGCGATCTTGTTTATTTATATATTGTAATTTGTAATACGCACCAAATGGCAATTGCTTTCTCACAACGTTAGCGGTACTGTTCGCAATTTATCAGCTCTAAGCATGGAAGCTTAATTATATAGATGGAAGAAGTAAAGCAAGTTGTGAAATCTGTGTTGGAAAACGTCGAGCTCGCAACGTCTCGCGCCGCAGATCGCAACACAAGAATCGCCACGGGGAAAAGCACAGAAGAAAAGGCGCACTCAATGATTAGATGAAGTACCGGAAAGGTAGGGGAGAGAGAGAGGGAGAGAGAGAGACAAAGAAAAGGGAAAGAGAAGAACAAGAACGGAGAATCGAGCACGAAGGGAGAAACATTGTAGCGTCAGGAAAATGTTGGGGTTACGTCGTACGAACTTCGTTCTCATCCATTCGCTTCTCTATTTTCCTCTGCCCATAAAAGACTCTCTCTCTCTGTTTCTCTTTCTCTCTCTATCTCAGACTACTCTTAGTGTACTCCTCGTTTTGCACGATCGATACAATCCTACCCTTTCGAAAAGGATAGTTTTTCGGAGGATCAATGTTCCGCATTATGAACAAGATGTCTCCGATCATTTTCGTCTCAGAAAACTCGAAGAAACGCTTTTTCTTAACTCGCCGTCTGCGTGTCAGCATTTTGAACATAACGTCACGAAAATGATAACGCAACATCGCAATTCACTTGCGCAAAACCGCGCAACTACTCGATTAGTCTTTGGCGAATTGCCCCATCCTCTGCCAGTGGCATAGAAAATTACCAACCGGCTGCTGATATTTAGCAATGCATCGATAACGAGCACGCTCGCAAAGGATTACGTTAATTAGAGCGCCGAGGCCCGGGCGCGCAATGAATTTTAACGCGAGAGCTCTCGCTCATTCGGCCGCGTTCGCCGAACGAAGCGCGCCGTGTCGCAACGGTTCGCACCATCTGTATTACGATATAATCTGCACCTGTTATACCAAAAGGACTATCTCTCCTCGGGCGCCGTTGCATTTATTAGATCGTCGATTACGTTCATTATGCCCGCGCGAGTAGAAGTCGTTACGTGCTGCTTCGCGGAAGCCACGCGTCTGATTTTCATCATTCACGAAATACCTCTCGCGTTTCACCGTGGAAAAAATAATAACGCATCGCTGATTATATAGCGAGCGAACACGGCAACGTTTTTATCAGGCTACGGTATGCCGTATAATGTTTTCCGGAAGAGAACAATATTTGTCTTGTACCCACAGAGAAAAAGGTTTCTTCGGACTTAGTATTCCTATTTATTTGATTGAAATTTGTTTCACTGAAACAACATATGCTTGTACGAAACATTATTTGTTTGAATAGAAAAATTTGTTGTTTCATTCAAACAATCTGTATTATTTTATGGAAAAGACAATATTAATTAAAGTAATATCTTTCAATTAAATAATTATGTTATGAAGTTCGCTGAACTCGTAAGTAAAATCACGGCAGCCAGATATAACATATAAGCGACCGCATCAGCAGACGCAGTTTAATCATCTAATGGTCTATTTATAGCTGAACATAGTGTACTAATTCAGTGTTTACCTTTCTTCTTCTAATGAAGGAAAAATTCTAATGTAGAGGGAGAAAGATGCATGCATATACATTTCTTTTCACATATTTTCTATCAAACGATAATGTTGTTTCAATGAAACAATAATATCGTTTAGATTGAAGAGAAGATACCTTGTGTTTCAAACGAATGTTGTATTTCAGACAAAGATATATTATATATTACTTCTAATTCAAAGAAATTATTTGTTTGGACCATTCCAAATATCAAATTTGTTTGGATACAACAAAATTTATTAAAACCACAGAAATCGTCTTCTCTGTGCCTCCAAATATTTTCTTAAAGATTCCGCGTCATTTTATTTCTACTCGATAGAAATTTTCGAATTTTCACTAGAAAATGTTCTGTAGAATACGTTCAGAGGAAAACTCGAGAATCGTGCGTAATTAATAAAAATCGCGTTTAATTAATAATTAACATGTATAAACGTATCTATCTGCTCTACGACATGAAGCAATAACGAGAGTAATATCGGGTTAATTAGCTTGTCGTTATCGAAGAGCATGATAGCGATTGGCCATACTGCAGGTGTGAAATTTCCATGTGTAGAGAGCGACGTGCGATAACTCGTCGGTTTAGGATCGTTGGTACCCCGGCCACCCTAGAGTCTAACCTTGATAAGGATCGCTGCTAATTGTTGCGAATTGGTGAAGGTGGCGAACGAACGAGGGAGGTTGGGCAACAGGTGTCATCTGATTGATCGCCGTTGCTCGCACCCCCACGATTACCTAGCCCACAAACACATCCACGGCAGAAACGAAGGACTTAATGTCGATCCATTACGTACTGGCCCATCCCGGCGAGGAATCGTTGACCTGACGCGCTCCAAAGTGCATTACGAGGTGAAAAAGAATGATCATTGAAAAAGAACGAAGTATCCGGTTTACGACCAAACGTATATGTGTATAGCACACACGTTGCGTACTATCTCTGCGAATTCCACCACGCGCGAGTTTACACTTTCAGCAATCTTTCTAGCATTCTCGTCGACGAAAGGAAGCGAGTTGATTGTACCACGAGTGTTGCTGCGAGATGCGAAAATGCAAGTCTACGAAAATGACACATCATTATCGACAATTTATCAGAGAAACGCTACGATCCCAAGTCTATACTCCACGTATCTATTGCATAAAAGAGTCCTCCTCGAGTTACGAGCATCTTGGAAAGCGCACCGACCGATTCGTCACCGGGCTGTGCGCGTTCCGGCGAGGACGTTGCCGGCCTGTGCGCACCCTACATGAGCAAAAAGTTGATCGTTACCCGCGGAGAGCGTTAAATCATCCAAGGCCGAAAGGGCGTACCGGGCGCGGCCGGTCGTCGGCGCCGTAAAACGCGCAAGTTGGTCCGCGCGAGATGTTTCGCGGCGAGTCGCACGCGCGAGATTAACAGTGTACCGCCGTGAATATTCGTCGGGATAATTGATACCGACGTCGGGAGAGCGGCTGACCATTGAAACCGCACGCGCAATATATCACGGATAATAAGCAGCCAGTGCATACGCCCGTACTCGGCGGGGGTGGAGGAAACGGAGAGTCGAGATGTGGCCACTCCGTTACATCTGCGGCGGCGACTCTCCCTCGATGCGATTATGATACGATGCGACCAAGTTCCGCAAAGTCACGTCGCTGGTCGCTATCCGAAGGTAGCGGCCGACGGTCCCGACGCGACGTCAGCCAACGATAATGAAACGATTCGCGTCTCCCCTCGTGTGCGTGTGCAACAACGGGCACACTCGCGCGAGTGTGTACGCTCGCGGTAGGTAGGTAGGTCTAGGTTATACATCGGAGTCGAGAAGAATGATCGCCTCGTACGCGAAGTGACCCGCGTAATCGTAATTAATCATCATGTAACCCGTGACTCGCGGATCGGCACCGCATAGGGCGGCTTCGCCGGTTATCGCCGGCGAAGCCAGGCGGACGTAGCCTCGCGCTCTAAGCGGCGATGTCGGGATTTATGATCGGCCGTGATGGAATTGGAATGAACAATCGTTACTTTCGCCGTGGCAGCTCGTTCTGCCCTTCCGCAACGAGTGTAACAGGCACTCGCCGAAGAGAGATCACTTTTGGAAGAGGTATTTTTGCGACAGGTATCTCCGTTGAACTGAGATACAAGATGTTACGTCCCCTCGGATTTTTGTCTATTTCACAACCCACGCGTTCCAAATTGGCGATCGTGTGATCGCGACCGATCGTTCGATATCTTGATCTCCGTTTATCACCGCTCAAGAGTCAAATCGCCGCGCAGCACCGCGCGCGCGCGCTCAACAGGAAGATCTTGTCTCGTAACAATGCCAAGCTTCATCATCAATCTCAAACGCGAATCGCTCCGCGCCCGACAGACTTGGAATTAACAATCGGTACTTTGTGCCACTCCATTGTTGCACTATGAAGTCACTGTATATTAATAGATACGCAGCGCGCGCAGCGCAGATGCGTCTACGCTTCGACTTTGCCGAAAGCGCTTTCAATGAGATCCAAATCAACGGACGTTGTCGCGATTTATTCGGACTTTTAATCGAGAAAGAGAGGGTGAAGACGTCTTGGTGACACGGCGGTTTTACTGTACGCTATATACGACGCCTGACCTATTGTTCGCAGGATCGTGAGGAACAAGGCGGCGGAGAAGGCGAAGCACGCGCATCAGCAACAGCAGGCGCAGCAGCAGCAAGGTCAACAGCAAGGTCAGCCGGGATCGGGCGGTTCCGTGTCGGTGATAGCACATGCACCTGCGACGGCGGCAGGTCATCCCGCCGCCACCGCTCCCAACGCCTACAGCATCAGTGGCATCCTGGGCATCCCGGCGCACCACCAGGACCCCAATGGCAACAGCATTAAGAGAAAACGCAGCGTTGACGGTGAGTCACTTGCAGTTTCTCCTCGCTCGTGTCGCTGACCTTGCTCCTTCGTTCGCATCTCCGCGCACCTACTACGCTCTGTCATCGTGTAACATTATTCAATACTGAATCCAATGCTTATTATCGGCCACGGGATCGCTTTAGTTGAGATATCGAATTGCAACTGAACTTGCACAACTCTCGAAGCGAAGCAGCACGATAGCGAAATGCACGGCGTCATGAAGAGGAAGAAGCGTTATTAATATCGCGGATATATAAATTGAATAGTAGCGAATTTTCAGGTAACGTTACAATACTCGAGAGTGAATCATTGTTTCGTATAAGTATGGACCGTGACGCAGTAATCGTCGCTTGTAAAAACTAGAGATTCGACGTAATGACGTTCAAATATGATATCATTTATGTCGTCGTCACGACGAACGAATCAAGTCGATTTAGCTCGGGAGCTAAAGTAAATTTTTAGAATTAAAGATTCAAGGGAGGAGAGTAAAAAAATATGTCATCAAAGTAGGTTATTGCTGGTCTATGTAGATGTATAGATCAGGTAAGCAGGTGTAAATTATCCTTAAAAATGTCAAAATAGTACCAAAATTTCAACCCGGGTAATGGAGAAGTTAAACTATTTCGCAAAGACAATAATATTATACTACGACGCCATCGCAAGCACCGTCAGTCCCCATTTGAATGCCCTTATTGTCTCCAATGTTCAAGTTTTCGCTTTACTTAGTCTTCACGAAGACTCGTGAATTGTATTTTATCCAATTGGCTACTCGAATAAACATACAGAGACAAAGATTACAGTTCAATTGATAAATCTCGTTACATGCGACACTTTCTACTCATTTATACCACGTGCAGATAACTTCTCAAACGACAACAGTGAGCGACGATTGGAGTAAAAGTGGACAAAAGTGGAATGCGACGATATTGTTTGCGCATGAACGGAGATATTTGTCTATCGGGACATATGTTTTGAGTTTACGCATTTTCTAGTCGTACGCGCTCGTTTGCGAGTGATCGAGCCACTTGGAGCACTTATTGCCCCGGGCGAACCAAGATTAGCCGCGCACACAGCAAGGTTATCAGTCAAACGTCACCGAGCACGTGTTGCGATTCATTCTGCTGTCATTGCGTGAATAACGCGGACCGAAATATTCGTGACACGTGCCGCGTACACGTGACCGACGGCGGCGCTTTGGCTCCGCGGGAGGTTTTCCTTGCCGATCTCGCGTCGCGAGAGCAATTCGTCGCTTATTTCGCGAGCTGCGAAATAATGTCGTCGTCCTCCGAGATGTTGGCGCAAAAAAAAAGTCCTCTAATCCATTTAGCCGCGTCGCCGGGGATCGAATTAATTCGACGATCGTGATGCCGCGGGACAGCCGTCTTTTTCCTATTCCGTGGTACATACACGGGCAGGCCGCAGCGTTACGCGATGCGGTGCAGCGGGGAAAACCGCGCGCGCGTGAGCTCGATCAAAATTCCGCGAGCGCGCGTTTCGCGGCGAGGTATATCGATTCGTACGCGGGAACGCGGCGCGCAGTGTGCCGATAGGTACATGGGTAATTCAATATAATCGGATTATGAGAGCGGCGATACGCGGCCGCAAAAGTGGTCGCGTCCGCGGTGAGAGCACTCAATGTTTTGCGAGCGTGCGCTCGCGCCGAGAGGGTAGGTATACGTATTAGATTATAAACTTCACAGAGAGACAGAGACCACAGGCGGCTTCCTCTCTATCTCGGCCCCGGCGACACATTAGCCTCCCTATCCTCCGGGGAGATCATCAGCGTGTACGTACGTGTACGCGTACGCTCCTAACCGCCTGGAATTTCAACGAGCGCGTGCACGGTGATCGTCCCGAGTGATCGTTCCTCCGCTGCCGTGCGTCAGAACGCAAAAATCGACCGATCGTCGCGTTAACCTAGCCGCAAGTGCTCAAATTTAATGAAACGCTCTGACCAGAGAGGCTCGCGGGAAAAACTGTGTTACAGAGCGCGATCGATTCTGTTTCAACTTTCCAGCGGCGAAAATGCCGTTGTTCCGCGGCGGTTTCAGCTCGGCCGCGACTCCAACTACCGCTTGCCGTGTTTCAGTTAATTATTTTAGCAATATCAATGCCGCGTGTGTCAAAGGCGCACGAAGGAGGAAGCTCTATCGTGTCTCGAGCTCGCGAACGAACGCCGACGCGTTCCCGCAATTTGAGACTCGTCGATCGAGAAAAATCGAAGCGGTCCCAGCGCGCCATTATTTATGTCTTCGACAAAACGAGCCAAGACATAGCCAAAGATCCCGGACCTTATTACGAATTTACGAACGACCTCTCGAGGGAAGCATTGCAATCTATCGGGGCTGTTTGTTGTCGCGTTACATCTGCGCGCTTCTGACCCCATGCAGAATCCCAGAACCCGCCGTGTCCCACCCTATATATCCCCTGGACGTAGGGGATACACCGCGGGGCCAGATTCGCCCCAAAGTCCATTATTACCCGTGTATTGTATTGCTTAACATTGACTCAATTGCTTTCGAATAACGCGAGCGAGCGAACGAACGTTCTCTCGCTCGCTCGTGCAAGCGCGTGCATTTGCCCTCTTGAGCATCAATCGAGTTATTCGATTTACTGCTCTTTTTTTCGGGGAACGCACTGACCTTCCTTCCGCGCGACATAATTCATTCGTTGTGAAATCTGTCGAGGACCGGCTATGCTTTCGACTTTTCCAAGTCCGCAAACTCTGACTCGTATCCAACGAGGAAAAAAAAAGGGGAAGATATGCAGATGTAAACGTGTCAACATTTAAGTTTAACATCCTACATAAATTCTACTTGTCTGAACTAATTACGGTCTTTCAATTTCGTTGGAAAAGAACACGCTCGATGACACGCTTATGAAATCAATACTGAACTACTTCCTAATGCAATATACTCTTCCCTAACAAGAACAATGTACCCCTAACACGATAGAACGTATCGTTGGCCCATGGTAGCGTTTGTCGTTTTACTAACTCATCACTCGAAATCCGATTCACGTACGCGATCCCAATTACAAAGTGGAACTGCGATGTCCCCAGGAAGCGCCCTAAACTCCAGTAAAACCGTGTCGTAACGCGGTACGCGTCTGTATGCCGTGGCACAGCGCGGCCGCGATTAACTCGGCCGATCAAATCGTAAAATTCGAGCGGGACTGGGAACGGGAACGGGAAGAGAGAGCGCACGGGGCACCGCCGCTGCCGCCGCCGCCGCCGGTGTTTGAAACGAGGGTTTTATAGCGGTCCAGGAACAAACCCTGCCGCTCGAATGGTCGGGATCGTCGCTCTCGGCCGGCCGGACAATCACAACTTGACAGGGAGGTTTAACGAGCCCTATGCTAGGCGCGCTCCGCCCGTCCCACCCTCGGATGGTCATTTAATTATTCGAGATACCCCAGAACGTTGGACTATCTCTACCCCCACCAGTGACATTGCGTTCGTACTGTCGTCCCCCTTGCCCCCTTCTCGCCGTCCGTCCCTATACCTCTCACCGGTCGGTTCCGTTCACGACCTCATCCCCGGCAAGGGTTCGCGATGCCCACACCCTCGGTACCGGAATAACGACACTCGTCCCACGTGCCTGTTCCTATATTAAACCGCCGGGACGGCCGGGAGATAATAAAGACATATAATAGAATCGAAATTGTTTCTCTATCTATCAATGCCATACGCCGTCTACGCGCGCGAGCCACGCCGCGCCGCCGCGCATCCAGCCCTCGACAGATTCAATTTAGTTTTGGCCGGCCACGTTTAATTTGTGTCTTGATTCGTGGGTAATACGAGAGACCGGCCGCATACAGGGCCGCGTGTGGGTGGATAGCTGTACATGCGATCGCGCCGGTTGATGTGCCGTCGGTCCGTCGCCGATCCATTTTCCCTCGCGCTCCGAAATTATCAAATTCGAGATATACACCGACGGAAATAACATTCATCGGGCGTTCTGCACGTTGCTCTAATATTGGAATCGCCGCTAGCGATCAGTATTGAACGAGGATACGTGTATATCCTCGTGCTACGTTGCTATGAATTAGAAAGGGAACTGTCTCTAATGATTGTTGAAACTTTTGCAGATGATAATCGCGAGCTGAATGATCACGCCGAGAATGATTTGAAGAGGCAAAGGAACAATTACAATGGCGACCAGCTGTATTCAAATGTGAGTATCGAAGAAATTCAAGTATGTTTCGAAAGTAACTCATGGAAACGCATTCAATCGCGCAACAGACTGCCCCGTATTACCGTACAGGTAATTGGGATCGGATCGGGTAGTAATCTCAGGCGTGAGTCTCAGGCCCGGTAGCGTATTCCCATTAAAATGCCCTAATCAATCAAAAGCAAGCCGCCAAGTTCCATAGAATTTCCGCGCAACTCTCGGCCAGCTCTTGCAGTAATCGGGGGACCGAGTCAGGCCGAGCTACAACATTCAAGTCAATCTTGGCGCTTGTTCTCGGATGTCCCTCCAACTCGCGAACTTCGACTTCAGGTTTCGCCGGTCTATGTTGCAGCTGTGGTCGAGTAAATGGAGCATCAAGGACGAGCACAAGCTCCTGAGCGAGCTTGGTAGCGGTGGAGGCGGCGGTACGACCGCCGGTACGAACGGCGGTGGAAACGGCGGCGGTGGAAATGGCGGCGGTGGCGGCGGCGGCGGCGGCGGCACTGGCGGCGGCAACGGCGGAGGCGGCGGTTATTACGAACACAGCGGATTCCCCGGGAACGCTATTGCCACCTCCGCCGAGCTGTACGACTCCCTGGGCACCATCAGCACGATGACGCAGGCGCAAACGCCTCATCTTTACACCCCGCCCATAGGGGGCACCATAGGTGAGCGTGCTTGTTCCCTCTCTTTTCACCCTCCGGCACCCTCCGGCACTTTCCGACACCCCCTCATCCCCGTCAAGCGTGGCTCCTCTGTCTCTTTCTCTGCCGTCTCTTCCTCCCCTCGCACGGAAATCCCAGATAGTGTGTACACCACAACCTCTTGTACGTAATGCCGTGCACCGAGTCCCATTCCACCACCTTCGTTTCCTATCCTTCTACTCTCCCGTTGCGCCCAAGACCCTCTCTTTCTTTCTTTCTTTCTCTCTCTCTCTCTCTCTCTCTCTCTCTCTCTCTCTCTCTCTCTCTCTCTCCCCCCTCCCTCTCTCTCTCTCTCTCTCTCGACTCTCCCTCCTTCTCTCGTTTCCTCCCGGTACGCTTATTATTGCGGCTTACGTCTTGCTTTGCATACCCATATCGGCTAAATACATGGCTTTAATAATGCATGAGCTGTGCCGAGCAGCGGCAGAAGAGGTGGCGGAAGGCTCCACACGGTGGTTCGGCGTTTTCAGCTTTAGGGAATACCGCTCTCACTTCTCCCAACAGCCGTCTCTCTTCCTTCTCTTTCTCCCTCCCCCCTCTCTCTTTCTCTTTCTCTCGGTCTATACTTGTGTCTCTGTTCTTATCTATTATCTAAGATCTAAGTGGTATATCGCCGAAGTCTCTTGTTCGCGGATCCTTTTACCCATGTCTTCTCCATATTACGTATATATTCACCCTCTCACGCTTTCTTTCGTTCATTCTTCCACTTTTCATCTCGTTCTCTACTTTTCTTACGCCGTTTAAAGGCGGTCGATCAGCGGCGGAACGTATACAGATGGTACAAAGTATTGAGAAGTATATAACCGCGCCGAACGTGGTGCACAACACATGAACGGAACTTTCTCCGGTGGCACGTGTTGCGAGCAACTCGGTCACGCCGCGTCGCGCCGCGAATTCTCCCGATCGGTGCTTTTCGGAATGGACGAAGCGAGGCGTGTAACGGCGGCTTCATCTCATGAAATTCAATCGAGAATCTTCGCTCTCCCCCCCGGATCCAAGTATTTTTGAAGGACAACATAAACGGTCAAAGTCGCAATCGTGGCTCGCCGTCGTTAATATGTAGCAGTGTCGCGAGTAAAGTGCTTGGCCGCGGGTGAACGCGAGAGTACTTGGACTTCCATACTGCCGAGCGCGTCCATGGACGCGAAGAAATCAGCTGCGCTACGCAAATGTTTTCGCTGTCCCTCACAACGATTTTTACGAGCGATGTATCCTTGATTCGACAATAAACGGGCGTTCCCCGCCACGAAACAACCTTTTAACGTTCCGCCTTGATTGGCCGTCGACGATACGAGAACCGCAATAACGGAAAAATGGGGATCCCTTAATAGCAGGTGGTACTTTGACGCCGCTCGCGCCACTGACGATGCAAGAACTAAAATTGAGCCAAACATTGGACGGGGCTAACATGTCTCCTTACCACACCACCGGTGAGTTCGCCACCTCTTTAGTCTTCTTACGGTCGTGCCGAATCATGTACACCTGTTTCGCTGAGCATAAGGTTTTATTGAGCCTCTCTCAGATATGCGCGTGTCCAACTAATATGTCCACGTCTCAAGTGTGTCACTACCACGTCGAGTGTTTATGGTGTTAACTTGCCGCGAGATTAAACGCGGCATCCCCCCTCCCCCGTTCTCCATACAAATCCTTTTATCGTCCACAATCATTTGTACTTTATGTCTAAAAAATATACACGAAGCACATACTGCAAAGAGATAACGATATTCGTTTTCTTTTCTTTTCTGTTTTCTAAAAATTATATTTTACATTCAAGTCAGACGAAAACGGTGCACTAAGCCTTTGCTCTTGTACAACAATTTTTTTTCCGAGACTAAAATTTCTGTGTTGATTTGTAAAAATGTCATTTATACATTGGCGGAATCATGAAGCAGCAAAAGGAATGAAAGAATATTAAGCAAAATATTAAACAAAAGGCCGCTGCATTTGTGAAAGGCACATACAATTCTAAAGTTATTAATAAGATCCCAAATCCCGATTTTCTTCCCGGTCCCCACCAAAACAGTTTAATTAAGCTTTAGACGTAAGGCGCTGATCGTTAGCTAGTGCTTGATTCGAATGTCGTGTTGTGTTGTGCATGGCCATAGCAGAGAGCAGTACCGTCGCAGTATCGTATGTCGGGGTGGGGGCCGGTGGGGGCGAGCAAAGTCCCCCGATTTCGTTGCAGAACGAGACAAACGCCACCCCCGCGGCCCCCAACACCCCCGGAGGGGATCCCGGACTGACGGTCTTGCAGCCGCCAGTTTCTCAGCCCCAAGTAGCCTCTGCGATACCACCGTACTCGACGATGCTCCCAAGTTTCGGACACTACGCCACCGGTGAGTACAACGAAAAACCGCTTGCTTAAACCATTCTCGTCAAGGACAGGCGCGCTCGTGTACCCTCCAGGGGTTGAACCGAGCCCGGCGGTACATTCGGAGGGTAAGTCAGAGCTCTGTCTGAGGAGCGCTGATTTACCAGTTCGGGGCGACGAGCGGCGGCAATTTTGCCGGAGGGGTGGATTTTGTTCCATTGGAGACAGAGTCGCGTACCAATGGAGGATACCATGATGATATTAACCGACACGTAATTGGAATACTATTTTTTGTGTGCTTACTCGCAGAAATTACATATGTGTATATACACGAATGAATTATTTATTCTGTATTACGTCAATATTTCGTTTTCTAAAGAGAATTGTTGTAGTTATGTCGTTTAGCATCAGTTACAGCAATAACCGTTATTTCAATTGAACGTTAACTATCACGAACCCGTATGTTGCCATCAGAGTCAATCTGCACTTAAGAATCTAATTTATTTTGTAGAGCATTTCCGCGCGAATTCACACCTGCAGTTTCGAGAATTAATTAAGACCCTAACATAACGCGTTAATTCTAGAAATGTCGACACTGTCAGCCCACGCTAATCAGTTTACCGTCGACTTTTGTCCAGGTGGTGGCGACTACGCGTATAGCGCTGCATATTCCCAGTATTCGAGTGCACCGTACAGCGGCTATGGTTATGGAGCAGCGACAAGCGGGTTGCTCAGTAAGTAAACAGTGAGTATGAGTACCGAATAGATCAGGATCATCGAAATATGACAATACTAGCGAGGTAGACCAACATTTCGGTAACGCAATCGATAACGATGCCAGAACGGCTAATGGCCAGCCGGTCATTACACAGTCGTTCACGAAAACGACGCGTTTGTTACTTGCTCTAATGTCCATTTCTATCAGTACAGGCCTTAAAGAGTTCGTCAAATTCCCGCGAGTGAGAGAGAAACATAGACTCGTAGAAGAGTGAGATAGCCTATCTCTGTCCCATTCCCCCCTTTTCCACCAACGCGGACGCAATTGCTAAGACCAAATCTTCTAGAGATTGATTGAGACACCGTCTTTCAGTCGTAGGTGTAAATTCAAACGAAGAAATCTCTTTAAGTTGCCACTATTATTCAGCTTTCGCGAATGCGAAACGAGCACGGCCTCCAAAGTAATAAATAGGGGTGCACCTTCGGGGAGGTAGGCACTAAGACGCGCCACTTATTAATTTTCGTCGAGAAAAATAACGGGCTAGGACTCGAACCTTCCGCTTGCCGGGCGAACGCTCTTCCAACTGAGCTATCCAGGTCCACGCTCGAGAGCCTTCTCGCTTGCTCACTTTATTGTACTGGAGAGCCTCTTTCACCAACCTCGGTTAGACTAACCGACAGTTAAAATTTGTCCCGAAGGTGATTATCAACCTCACCTCCACTCTCTGTTGGCGCCCCGCAAGTTTTAGCCGTCGGTTAATCTAACCGAGGCTGGTAAAAAGAGGGCCTAAGTAATAAACGCGCGAGAGCCAGCCGTATTCGTTACTCTACAGGAATTACCTGTACGCGATACGCAAAAAAATATGACCAAGCAAAAACCTTATTCCCGGTTACACTCGTGTAACAGCGCGCGCGCGGACACAATTCCTCGCGATCTAAATAGAACTTCCTAGCCTCGTTCCTCGTTAACGTGAGTTGCAACTCGATTCATATCAGATAACACCGAACTAGTTCCCCGTAAGGAGCCACGTCGCGTTCTCCGTCCGGTTCTAATACAATCCCGATTCGATGCCTATCCCTCATAACGTACAAGATTGGCGGCATTAAGTCGAGATCGCGATACCTCGAGGTGCGAGCACACCAGAAGAGGGCCGCGCATCGCGCGTGCAGCAACGAATAGAATAATAAACCGCTCTTTTTTTTTTCTTTCCTATCGGACACGCGATACGCTAACCCGTAACACGTAATGCAGATCCGTTGGCGATATCGCAATCCTCTCGCCCACTTCCCCTCCGCGCGCGCGTTCAGCTTATTCCTCCTCGTTCTTGATATTCCACGCAAGCGTTACGTGAATGCTATAATTAAACGCGAAAATTAGATAGGCGCATCGCGGAAAACAATTTACTCCATCTTAATTCCGCGCGATACGTGTATGCGCGCGTGTACATAAAGAACGGAACGGGAAAAGTTGTTGCGGCGAAAACACGGTTAAGTACGCAACGTTACAAACCGCGCACGAAACGTGAAAGGCGCTGCGCGAGCACGGGTATATCTCACTCGCGGATACGGCATTAATTTGAGCCTGCAAAATTAGCAGGTATGCACGTGACAAAAGTCCGATGTTATCGCGCCAGGTTAAACAGGGCATTGTACGCAGGTATAGAGAACCAGGCAAATTCCATGCGCGATGAACGTAATCGCTTCTCGTTGTAGATTCCACGTACTATTACTGCAACGGAGACACGAGCACTCATACGTCGCAGCAGGGCGGTGGTGGCGGTGGTTGCACTAGCGGTGGTCCGGAAAACAGCGCCGACGTGGCTAGTCGTTCACCTCTGGCGGCTACCAGGGCCAGCAGCGGGGCCAGCGCAGCCTCGCCGACCGGAAGCGCCTGCACCAAGCCGGACCACACCACCGCCACACCGACGGACCTCTACCTGGCTTGATGGTCGAACCGCACGACGGGGGAACTCTTGATCGAGCATCCCCCAACGATCAGCGGTGAGACAGCGAGTTGCGACGGACGCCATATCACCAAGAGACACCATCTCGAAATTAAGCAATGATCTCCTTTTAACCGCTTCGGGAATGCGCAATGAAAAGTTCGGAGAGTGCGAGGGATACCGATGAATCGGACGGGGAAGACGAAACGGATCGAAGAAGAGGATTGGGACGGCTCGAACCAACACTCTTCACGCTGATGAGTCTGGACAAGTCGCGTTTTCGGGCAAGGAACGTTAAAACGATTCTAGGATTAGTTGCGCTCGGAGTTCTGAGTTCCATCGCGTTCAAGATGAACGACAGGACTTGGGGGGGGGGATTCGACCTGATCGATGAGCGCGCGACGTGATTTCGCGTAAAACGAGCTTGACGAGTGACGGTCACATCAGAGCATTGGCGTTACCGAGTTCCCGCGTGTCGCTGCTGTTCTTTGCAATATATAAACGTTCCCCTTTACGTTTTTATTTATTAATCCGAAGAATCATCGATCGATCGACTTGTCACTTGCCAATGGCGGCGACGCGAGCGAATCTCGAATGCTCGGAAGCGTTAAAGACGGCGTCGCTGCTCTCTGGAGAGCCGCGGCGCGGTAGGTAGTTTAATTTAATGATCCTCAGTTAGTATAATTTCCACGCGGTGGTCGTGACCGCCCTCGCGAGCGCGCGCTCGCGTGGCGAGCATAGTCGCTGACCATGTAAATATATATAAATTGAACATATATATAAATAAGAATAAAAAATATATATATATTATATATATATGATTCGTGTAAACAAAGTCAAGCGCCCCAACGGCACGTTTTTCTCTCCTGTAGGCACAACGACCCCTCACCCCCTTAAGAATATCGTAGAGTATAACACGATAAGTTTGAGATTTTTAAATCAGGAGTCGACCGTAACGATCACTACTGTTAAGGATATTATATATATTTTTTGTAGAAACCAAAGACCATATACACACGCGCGAGTAAACCCAACACATGCACGTACACACACGCGTACATACGCACGCACGCAGCACGCAGGCACGCACCCGACACACGACATATACATCATGCGGATCGTCGAACGAACGAGCACGTCGCGCAGTTGCGGCAGAAAGCGTGACCTTTGCGCCGGTTTTGAGCGGCCTTTTCACACGGATAAATTTAATTGCGTAATCGCGAGCGGCGCGTAGGATCGACATCAAAATTGAAAAAAAAAGAATTGCAATCATTTCAAAGGTTGCTCGTTGATAAGAGATTCGCAGAGAACTAATCTATTTTTTTTTATTTAAATTAATTTCCCATTTTGCTAAAGCACGTACTAACCGCGTGTTATGTCGAGATATCAATCGCCATTGTACGGAGAACGTTCTTTCTTATTCGAGGTAATTAGCACAAGTCGGCGCGTGGACACTTCCTCGACAGCTCGGCGATCACGCTCGTTCTCCCGTTCCGTTCGACGCATTCGCCACGCTTCCGCTTTGCGGCGGAAGTCGTACTGGTTCCCGTTCGTCGTCGGGCGGAACGCGCCGGGGAAGATTATCACGAAGGCGCAATTAGCCGGGCGTCGGAGATTTTTAATGAGAAATTACGTTCGCAAGCGCACACGCGCTCCTCTGATTTAATTACCGTGTTAATTATTGATGCTTCAGCGGCACGCGCTACAGATTTCATGCGTCTCGAATTTACTCAGCTTGCCGGATAATGTTGTAGATTGAAAAATTATTTGACAATTCTACTTAATCCGACAATTTCTAGTCACATTCAAAAGAGATGCGCTAGTAAGCCAAATATCGCATACTGAAATAAACAAAAACGGCGAAATTAAATGGCGAGTATAATAACGATACGAAACGTTCTTTCAATTCATTAGTGTCGATCCAAAGCGTGCTCGCAAAATCGAAATCGTTATTGATCCCAGCCAATCGATAAAAGTTCTGAATCTCTCGCGCGATGCTCCGTCCGTGTCGATCGCCTTTTATCAAACAGTTAAACTGGACTAAACCTGTCGCGAAAATTACTTTGTTTCCACTATCTGTGTCACGCTCTTTAGCAAACGACATTTTTTTAAATTGCTAACTGAACAAGCGCAACTTATGATACTAATTGTTTACAATTATTATGTGTCACAATAACGTGATATGAAGCCGTGCAGAGAGGAAAAACGCAGGCGCTTAAAAACAACCGCGAGATTTTTTCGCACTGCAATTCTAGCGATAATTTTTCCAGCTCGGCATTGCTAGATAAAAGGCACACTCTTTCCAGAATAAGGTTCGAGGAATAATTTAGCGCGTGCATGCACAAGATATATTTGAATTTCAATCGGCCAAATACGGGCTAGATCATTGTGTCCGACGTTCGGTACGTTTTTTTTTGCATACTTATACATTGTTACTTTATTACTATTACTGTAATGACTCTGATTATTAATTATTCTATTTGCTATTTTCACTATTTTCATTATTTTATCATTATTATTATATTTTATTATTATTATCTCATCATCATTATATTATTTAATACATTTATTATTTATTAATTGTAATGATGACCTATGTGTAATAAGTTTTGCCAAAGAATCCGTTGAGAGAGCAATATTGCAGTAAACGTTTTATAGTCTCCATAGGAGGAAAAGCCGATGAAGCACAATTGTAATATGGAATTGAATATAGAAGATACGAAGAGAAAAACGACTGTGTGCGGCATTCGAGCGATGAGCGGAATTGCGAATTCGTTTCGCGCGATTATACGTTTGCGAATCTGAGATTTCGACTCGAACGCCGCAGCCGCGCATTTTTAATCGAGCACACATTATCTCATTTTATTTTATCTGTTCCGTGTGATATTCTTGTTCCGTGCGCCGCTCTTGCCGAGTCTCGCTGTTGATACTTGCAAACAAAACTCTGTACATCCTTTTTAAATAAATATGAGGTTTATATATATATATACATATATAAACATAAAATTCATCTCTACACCTAATTCCCCGATTCAATTTTTCACGTACCTACTATATTGGCCAGTTTAATATTTGACAAATTTAAATTACTGCAGAAATCAAATACCTGCAAAATATCTTTTTTTTAAGCATAGTTTAATATTGCCATTTTGCAAGTTGTATAGTTTTACTTTGAACAAGAGCATCTAAAGAAAATTATACTTATTTTATATACTGCAATATATGTATTATAGAAAATAAATTACATCGCTAATAATCAGGCTTGTTACATACAAAACTGGTAAATGCACGGTAGATTTGCGAAAGCTAAATAAAAGTGAGTGAAGAAGCCATTAAAGGTGAAAATTAAGATTTCCATTTCTGTAATTATAATATAATATAAAATAACTGCTTTGATTTATATTGAAATAAACACTTTTTGTAAACGGCATAAAGTTGACTACTAATTCGTGAAAGTGTATTTAGCGACATCTGTTCACGGCAACGTACACTCTCATAGAGAATATAGGAAAAATCAATATATAATTAATACGACGGAAAGCAAAGAGTAACTAACAGATTACGCGAGGCAAATTGTTGTATTACATCGCCTATACTTTTACACAAAAATTCTTAATTTATTCTCAGCTCTGTAGGTGATGGCAACACATCTCTAGTCGTGAACGTGCGTCTCTCCCTTATCGGCGTTATGTAGTCCCATATATCGCATGCACATAATAGAAAATGTAATCTGTATTATCTTGTAAAAATTAGATCAATGTAACATGGGTAAGGATGATGGTAAGTAGATAGAGAATACATATACATATAATTACTTTCTAATTGTTATTTGTGTAGTATCATTATTTTATATTCAATAACATACATCCCTGAAATATCCTGTAGAAAATAGAGATATTTACGTATACGTATACATAACTAACAAAAGTGATCGTTATTTTATATTTAAGTGTCCAAGCTGCTCCTTGTACTCGAAATTGTTCAATTGTCTTAATTAAAGTAAACTGCTTTTACATTTACACTTTTTTATTGTAGACATAACTTTCAGCACCGCCACGTCCAAAACCTGCAATAACAGCGATCATTTTATTACGCGAGCCTGTAATATTAGAAGCGCTGCAAATCTAATTTGAAGTATAAAGAGCAACGAGATATGCGTATAAACAGATGGAATAAGGAAGATGCGCATTAATTTGATATATTAAATGCAGGATAGCGATGTTCTACGAAGGGTTTTGAATATGAAGCAGTTTTAGGGGAAACGAAGCGCGTCGCTCGAACCGAGACGAAAATTTCCATTTACCTCCTGGACCGAACAGAGCTGAATAGCAAGGGTGATTGCAGTAGGGTTTCCCTTCGTGCTCGGCATGACCCCCGGGTGTTAAGGTCTTATTGCATTTCTCGCAGCGTAAACACGAACCGTGCCAATCTTTGCCTAAGGATGTCTTCCTCTCGGCTGCAACACAAGATGAATGTTAACGCGTCCGCCCCGATGTAACGTAAAAGGCGGTACACCGCGGCGGAACTATAGTCGCGCTTTCCATATTAAATTTTATGTTCCTACGGTAATGTGGTATTCGCATTGGAATATCATTTCCCACGCCTCTACCGGCACGATGATGATGATCGCTAAAAGAGAAATTAGCGGGCACATATATTAACTCGAATGATACCTGCGATAAAGTAAAAGTGACGGAGACCTGAAAGATGGACGATACTCTGGGGAAAAAAAGACAGCGACCCATTTTGGGGCCCACAATTGGTAATCGAATTAGTTGGATTGTTCGTAACGTTGATCGGTTTTTTTTTTAGTTAAGCAACTTAACATTTCGGTTAGTGCCTCTTAAGTGAAAATTATCTTCGCGTTGCTGAATATCGACAGAACTAATTGAGAGAATTGATTACTATTACTTAAAAATCTTGGATATAGATAGAGTAGCTAATTGCGATTTTTAGTTACGCGAGGTAAAATTCGTAAAAGATTAGAGTTACGAACAATCCAAGTAATTCGATTACTAATTGTGGGCCCCAAAATGGGTTGCTAACCGTCCTCTTTTTCCCAGAGTACGGAGAATAAATATTTGTTACGAAAAATTGATTTGTCTAACAAATATTATTACGTGTCGTTACGTCGGCTCGACTGTCGTTTATTTTCAGCAACCTGAAACGAAAGAACAAACTCCACGTGGATCAAGTGTGTATGTACCGTTGCCTGAATTGCGAATGATAAGAACGAGCCCTCCCATTAGCAATTTCGTAATTAAAAAATCCAATGTCGAAGTCCCGATGGAATCGTCGTCAGTTATTCATTAAAGGCGCGAGTGCGAAACATACTCCGGGCGTGTTTCACAAAGGATTTCATGTTGCCGAGGTTTCAAAAAAAAAAAAACATTCTTAAACCCCTCGTATGCGAGTCGCATTATACATGTGTACCTCAGTTAATTCCCAGATGCATCGACGAAAATTTGGTATGGTATGTGTGTTTCGTGCCCGCGCGAAAGGGACACGGTACAATAGGACTGCTGAAAAAAAAAAGATGCGGTAACGCTAACGAGAAAGCAACGGGAGAATCAACTCGCGTCACATTTCTTAAGGTACTCAGAATTTTAAAACTAACTTTTTATTTATGTTTTATCCTTAAATTTAGACTTCATCAATGCCGACTGTTTACAAAGATAATAGTTTATCGCGTTTGTTTTTAAATGAGACGGATTCGTCACTTTGAGGCTGTGTTATTGTCAGTTTTACAGTGTAGTTTCCGATAAAATTAAATCGTGTACGAAATTAAACACTTTGCTAAAGATAAGTCTCAGTTTATATTACAGACACTTGCTAAGTGTTGTAGATTCTATAGTATAATTACGGATAAAGCACGATTGTTGGAACGCTCTGTATCAATTTGCCGTTGATATCCCACATTGGCTTGCAGTATCCTCATTCTTATATGGCGCATAACCAACGATTCGACAAAAGACTCGCAAAAGCCGAAAACCGATTTCTCTTTTCCTCCGTTGCGTCGCGGCAGCATATCGCGCCATTACGGCATATCAAACCTCGCAGGAGAGACAAAAAAAAATGAAGCAAGAACCGCAGCGGGCTGGTGGTTGCATTCAAACGCTTCACCGTGTCTAAGAAGAAGCACAAAGGGCGGTAGCGCCAGCGAGGGAAATTGGAAAATGACGAGACGAGCGCAGCGGGTGCATCGGGGAGGAAAGGATGCGTCGGTGAAAGCGAGGTGTAGTGGAGAATGGTGGAGAATGAGGAATAGCAACGTATGGGAGAGCAGAGAGGGGAAGAGATAGAGAGAGCGAAAAGAGAAACGAAAGAGAGAGAGAGAGAGAGAGAGAGAGAGAGAGAGAGAGAGAGAGAG